CCTCATCTCTACAATAAAATAAAAAAATCAGCCGGGCGTGGAACGCGCGCCTGTAATTCCTGCTACTTTGAAGGCTGAGGTGGAAGGATTGCCAGAGCCCAGCAGGTTGAGGCCTCTGCACTCAGCGGCCACTGCACTCCAGTCTGAGCGACCGAGTGAGACTCCAACTCAAAAAACAAAAACTTTGGCAACCCTGACATAACAAACACTGGTGTTATCTAGCATTGTTTTTTTTTTTTAAGCACTTAATAAAGTTGGAAGGTTTTATTAGAGCACGTGTAGGTTTGGTTGGAAAAATCAGATTAATATGGCAATAGACTGTTTTTAGGATTAATTAACATGTGCTCCCTTTACTTTTGTTTGGGAGGGGGACTGATAGTCCTGGTCTACATTTAGTTTGAGAGATATATCAGAAATCTTTCTTTTTTTTCCTTTTTTTTTTTTTTTGAGTTGGCGTCTCACTCTCGCTCAGACTGGAGTGCAGTGGCCGGGAGTGCAGAGGCCTCAACCTGCTGGGCTCTGGCAATCCTTCCACCTCAGCCTTCCAAGTAGCAGGAATTACAGGCGCGCGTTACCACGCCCGGCTAATTTTTTTATTTTATTGTAGAGATGAGGTCTCACCAAGTTGCCCAGGTGGGTCTCGAACTTGCGGGTTCAGGCAATTCACTCACCTCAGCCTCCCAAGGCGCAGGATGACAGGCTGAGCCACCGAGCCTGGCTAGGAATCTTTAATATAAACATATTTTTATCCATCTCTCTGAGAGGAGGCTGGTTGAGCCATGGTGAAAGCCTGTACACAGGGAACCTCAGACCATTTGTTCTTACATCTACAAAAAGGTTTAATTATAAGATTGTATTGGAATTGATATTTCCCTTTGGAGCCTAGGTTTTTCCATCCTGTAATTTGTAACCTGGTCACACCTGAGTACAAAGAAACGATAGGAGTCATGACAAGTTTTGAAAGGAAGAAAATGTGATAGGAAAGACTGGAAGTCTTGTCATACCCTAATGGGCGGTTGAGAATTGGAATCGGTCTGAGAGTCTTTAGATAACATCAAGGTGTAGCCTTGGCCAGAAATCTGCAATTACTCCCCACACTTAATCCAGGCCTCTGCAACGGCTTGACATCCGTGAAAGGAAACCAAATCGGGACAGAGCCAACATTTCTGACACCCAAGGGCGATGGGGGATTGACTAAGCCCTTTCCAGCAAGCCTGTTCTCTGTGACTTGTAGAAGAGCAGCCACACTATTCACTTTTAAGTGACTGACAGAGGCCCGTGTTGGTTTTGAGAGAGAGAAAACTACTGTGAGGATGAGAAGCCTCAGAAATAAAAGTAAAGAGACAGGTTTGTTTTCACTCACCCTTTTGAATCCGTTGATCTGAGTCATGACACCAAAATGTTGCTCCACTGTCAGCTTAAATCAGCAAGCTCGGGTTCTTGTTCCACGCCAAGAAGATTCAGGAACATGGATACCAAAAGGATGGGCGAAAGAAAGTTCATTAAGCAACGAAGCTCTCTCCAGAGAAGAGAGGAGGCCCAAAATGGGTTATCCGGTGTTGAGTTTTTTTTTTTTTTGTGGATTTATTTTTTTATTTTATTTATTTTAAAATTTTTACTGTTTATTATAAAGATGTGCGGTACAATTCAGGGTTAGGTATACAAACGTTGATTGTACAGGTACCCTTGTTGATGAGGTATACCCCTCCCTCCCCTAGCAGTTTCCCTCAACTGCCAATCCCATCTCCTCCCCACAGTTTCCCACTACTCTCAATCGCTTTCTTATAGTATTATAATTGTTCAAGGTCCACTTATGAGTGAGAACATTTGGTACTCTGTTCTTTGTTTCTGTGATAGATCACTGAGTATGATCAACTCTAAATCCATCCAAGTTGCTGCAAAGTCCATATGTTTGTCCTTCTTTATGGCTGCATAATATTCCATTGTGTATGTGTACTACATTTTTTTCATCCAGTCCAGCATGGTTTTTATCTTATTTTTTTGGCGGCATTTCTCTTATTTACGTCTCATCTGCCCTTTACTTTCTGAGACCCAATTTTTATTGCACGTGCAGGTCCTTGATCACAGTTACTCCATCTTGAATATTACCCATAAGTACCACAGAAAAGCCCACGGGGTGGGTGGGGTGGATAAAACCTCAATGCTAATGTTATGTTAATGATAGTATAATAAACTAAGATCAAGTCGGGACATTTAGTTAAACTACTGGACCTGTGTTTAGGCAGCAAAAATTCCTTTTATTAGTATATCCTGGGTTGAAAGGATGTTCTTACCCATACTAATCACATTTCCAGTCAGCAATTATATAGTGAGGGTGGTGTAGGGTACGTTCGCACCTGCGAACGCAGGTGTTAAGACTCTTTGAGACGCTCCCTCTCTACCTAACCAGTTTTTGTCTATCTCCTCTCGTAATTATATGTGATAAATGACATAGGGGGATATCTGGAAAATGATAGATGAATTTTAGCAATCTCTGATTTCTACATCATGGAAAAGAATAGATATTTACTGTATAAATATGTTTTCAAATACATCCATAAACTAACTGAGATCTTATTCCTTTAATTTAGATGTACTCCGGTATGCCAGGTCTGCCAGAATTTAATCAGGTAAGACTTAGTTAAATAAGATTCCTTTAAACTTTTAGGCACCCTGTTTAAATCTCACTGGGACAGTTTCCTCACATCTTGAATAGACTTAGTGAAAGGGGCATGCTCTTTACTTTTACAAGGGAAGTTCTAAAAATGTTTTCAGTGGAAAGTGATTATTTGAATGTAACAGACTACTTGGATTCCTGAGAAATGTAAATGGCTGAGGGCCTATGGTAAGAGCTTCTAAAAACACTTGTAAAGGATCACATTGGAATAAGGAAGATGTTACATGCACATACAGCTCTGAATCTGACCTATGACTTGCAGGTGTGTGGGTGCATACCACGCTTATAGACAACAACAACTCTAGTGAAATACGCATTAGTATTATTTTTTTGAGTCAGAGTCTCACTCTGTCACCCAGGCTGGAGTGCAGTGGCATGCTCACGGCCACTGCAGCCTCAACCTGCTGGGCTCAGGTGATCCTTCCCCCTTAGCCTTCCAAGTATCTGGAACCACAGGTATGCACCACCATGCCTGGCTAATATTTTGACTTATTGTCTCTACGAGGTCTCTCCATGTTGTCCAGGCTGGTCTCGAACCCGTGGGCTCAGGCAATCCTCTCACCTCTGCCTCCCAAAGTGTTAGGATTATAGGCGTGAGCCACTGCACCTGGCCGAAATACACAATTTAACAGTGATTTGCATTTTATTTTTATTTTTTTGAGTTGGAGTCTTACTCCGTCGTCCAGGCTGGAGTGCAGTGGCACGCTCACCGCCACCCCAGCGTCAACCTGCTGGGCTCAGGTGATCTTTCCATCTCATCCTTGCAAGTAACCGTAACTACAGGTGCACGCTACCATGCTCTGCTAATTTTTTGATCTATCGTAGAGATGAGGACTTGCCAAGTTGCCCAGGCTGGTCTTGAACCCATGGGCTCTGGCTGTCCTCTCACCTCAGCCTCCCAAAGCCCTGGGATTATAGGCCTGAGCCTCTGTGCCCGGCCGATTTGCATTTTAAACTATGTAACTCGTTTCCTTTTTCTCTTTTGTAATCAGAGGGAAATGGTATTTCTTCATTCTTATCATAGGGTGAGGTTTATATGATGGAGTGGACCAAAGTTAAAATTTATTTTTGCAACCAGGCTCGGTGGCTCAGCCTGTGATCCTGCGCTTTGGGAGGACGAGGTGAGTGGATTGCCTGAGCCTGCGGGTTCGAGACCCGCCTGGGCAACTTGGCGAGACCTCATCTCTACAATAAATAAAAA